ATTTCAAGTGAATATTCTGTTTTGTCGCAATTAATTTAAGTATTTTTAATATTAGAAACATTACTTGGTAAAATTCAAATACAGCATTACTATTACCAATTATTACTTTGAAGTAAAATATATATATTTGTTTTAAAAATAAAACAACAAACTATTACTACTAAACTAAATTGTAATTACTTCAAAGACAAAAACATGTACAATATAAAAGTAGCAAGTAATTATTATCATTATAGGAATTATACAAGATTTACATACATTGTTGTAGAATATAAATATTTCTCTAACATATAATTCATTGCATGATCTTAAATATTACAACATATTATTTCAAATAGAATTAAGACCAACAATAGACAGATAAGATTTACATTCTGTAAAATAAAAGAAAAATTCATTTAAGAACATATGTGCACAAGAATTTCTAAACTTATATATAACAATTATTAATGGCAAAAAATGTGCTAGCAGTACAAAAAAATTTATTTTTAACCAAATACATTATTTCTTGAATTACATAGTACTATACCAATCATTCAATTTGATAACAATATTAGCTTTCCTCTTATTGTTTTATAACTTGTGAAATAGTCTATTATGTTTTTCTATATCAATTTTCTATATCATGTTTTTAATAATTACTTTAAAATCAAGTTGAAAATAAAATAATGTCTGTCTTATTTATAATCGAAAACGATCACCTGATAATTGAAAACTACCGACACCGTAGCCATGACCGAATACCAATTTACGATCAGTTCAACAACCTGTACTGTTGTTCTACGATTCTCACCTTCTTAATTCAGCTAGTTACAATGAAATAACAAGAATGAAGATTATGTATTACATAATATCACTTATATTTCCTGTTGTTCTTTAACATTCAAAAGAAATCCGCGTAAATAAAAGTGTTGAAAAATAAATGCAAGAGGGCCAATAGTACAACACAAAACAGTTTGAATAGCAAGCAGATTACTCAACGAATACGGGGTGACTCGAAAATTACGAAAGAAGCGTTCTTTTTTCACGTTATAAAATTGGAAGTGTATAAAACAGGAAAAAATAAAGAAAAAGATAGAGTTATAGCATCAAATTATCGAATTTGTCTTTATACAGACTAAAAGTTAATGACTGGTAGTGCTCGTGTTCATTCGTGTGGGGGAAAAAGGGTGTATACATATAAAACGTGTGACCACTTTACATTTTTAAACACAAACTCACCTAATTTGTATTTGTAGTCGCGTGTTTCTTGATTTGATGTTTGCTCATAATAAAAGGATAGTGTAGTTGTTGAAGGTCTATTGAAGTTTGCTGTTAAACGACAACGAAGCGCGAAATTCGCCTGTCAATATATCAAACCAATAACTGTACACGCGTGTTCAGTTCTGTGCTTAAGAATTTGAAGGGGAAGAGCAACCAACTCAAGAACGACAGTAAAAGAGAAACACCATACTTAATAGTATTTTTCTGGTATTTATAAAATCATATAAAGAGGTTAGAATACTAGACGTTGACTCAACAATTTTCTTACACTTACTAGGGATTTTAGCAATATCGTGTTGCCAGCAAGCAAGTTGAACAGGGGTTGAACAGCTGATGCTTCGTCGACACCGGCGAAATGTCAAAGTCTAGGCAAATTGTAAGTTACCTGCAGCTAAATGGTTAACCTTGTCTGATTGATTCATATAGCTTCTTTGATTAAAGTTAAACATCATTTTATTAAAAAAATAGGACATTTGTTTCTTAAATTGAGAAAATTTTACATTTTATACAGTGACATTAATGCAATTTATTAAAAGTTCCCAGGCATGAGTCCAATTAGGTCTTACTTTGTTTTTCCTTTATGATTTTTCAAAATCTATGATGTTAATGTTTTAAACAACGTAGTTATAATATTAAACACTAGATTTTATAAATGCCTTTATATTATAATATTAGTAATTGTTTTAATAAATAAATAATTTAT